GTATATATTTGTATATGTGTATATACACTTGTATGCGTAACATACATGTATACATTCCTATGTATACCTCCTAGCTACCTGCCTGCCTGCCAGCCCGCCCGCCCACCCACCCACCTGCATGTCTAGTTACCCTCTCCATACGTGCACGCAACGTGCACACAACTCCCCATGTAAATGTACGTACGTGCATGCATGCATGCGTGNNCCTACCTTCCTACCTACTTACCTACCTACCTACCTACCTACCTACCTACCTACCTGCCTACGTACGTGCATGCATGCATGCGTGCACTACACACACAACACATACATACATTATTAATTAACGAACTACAGTACTAACATGCATACGTGACATACATACATACTGCACAGACCAATGCACTTCATGCAAGCAGGAATGACATAATACATTCCATTCATGCTTATATAACTTATATACACAAGTTGTGTGAGTCATATGCTTTACATACAGTACATACAGTGTACATACAGTAGCAACAGCGAACCGGGTGTACATGAGCCGTGTGGTCCGTTTCGTGGGCCGCACTGCGGAGAATGGCCGTACCTGCTTTAGCAACTTTAGCACCTGCCGGTTGCCTAGTAGTGATCGCCAAAGGCCCGAACTCAACAACCCAAGCCCGACGCGGTCCTCAGAATTTCAGTGAGAGGCCCTCTAAAGCGTACTACTTCCTTAGAGAACAGGGTCTTGGGTTCTCTGGCAATTCGTTGGAGGGTAAGGGTTTAGTCTTACCACAGATGTTTTTATCTTCGGGATGTTGGGGATTTCGAACCAGCGCTTCCTAGTCAGGCTCGTAGTTTCTCCCTTTCAAAGGTTTTGTAGATAATGTTGAATCCTCCCTGCATGTCCTAAATCGCCAAACAAAGGGGGCGAGGATAGATTTACTCAGTAAGCTCAGCATGGGTTTACGCGATCTTGTATTGAGAAGTTTCATAATCCAACTAGTGATTTAGATAGCTTAGTGGGGTAGTTGGATTTTTTGAAAAATTTTTTTACGTCTTCACTGGGTATTGAGACCAACGAGAAGACTGTCTAGGTCAATTTAGGTTACGTGAACTAGTTTTGGAAGAGTATTCACAGAACTTCACAAGTCTCCAAGTCCAGCTAGACAGCTTCGAATGCATCTGTGAACTCAAGACATCTGAAGCTATCCAAATTGGTTGATTTCATTGCGATTGTCAAGAAGCGGGTTTCCACGTTTTAGACAGATAGTTACATAATTTACATAATTGACGGGGGTACTTGGACACTTTAGGTAGTTCTCCCGCCAATGCGGCCGGTCGTTATATAGATAATCATAGATATTCCGCATCTGCAGCCGCGCCACCGAAGATTGTAGCTTGAAGATTTCAAGGAAATTGTTGCGGGAATCTCGGTTTAGGGATAGCAGATAGCTCGTATCGGCTTGAATTTCAAGCCGAATCACCAAACAGTGAAGATTGAAGATAAAAGCGAAAAGTTTTGATCAATTTGGGAACGGATGGCTTGAAATCGCCGAAGCGACTTGAATTTGAATCCGGTCCGCGGTAAATTCATGCATTACTGCAAGTTGCTTGATGGGAGTCTTAAATCTTCAATTTTCGGTGGATCTGCTTCAAGCAGAAACGAGCTGACACAATGCATACACCCTTACATGCATACATGCGTGCATGCATACAAACATACATATATATATACACACCATATTATATATATATACGCATACATATATATATATATATACACAGACATAAATAAATAAATATCTATATATATATACATATCTATATATATACACATACATATATATATATTATATTATATTATATAGATGCATACTACCTTGTATACATGTGCTAGCTGCTAGCTTGTGCTTTGATAAAGCATACGTACATGCACTGTGCTATGTTCCCCATGTGTTGTGTATATATATATACACACACATAGGATGCTGTGTGTGATGTGTTGTGCTTTGGATATGAAGTATGTCTGGCAGATGGTTTACGATGCCTGGAACAGGACAGGTGATACATACACAGAGACACACACACAGATTTTTGTTTGTATGTGAGATACGCGATATACAGGTACCATGTGTCGTGGGCTAGAAGAGGTTTTATCATGCCATATCAAGAGATATACCAGACGTTAGGGCTCATTTTTCATCGTAAGTGTTTTTTGTATGCATACGCACACAGCTGTGTGCATGCATACATGCAAAAATGCATGCGTACTTAATATTAGATGCATCTACGACATGTGCGGATAAACAATGTTAATTATGTGCTCGCTTACACACAAACACGCATGTGTATAAATGTGCTATGCTGCATATAACACATATCTTTGGTGACTTATGATGTATCTGTACACGTTTATGTCTATACATCTGTATATACGTTTACATGTATGCAAACATACATAAATACACCTACATATGTCTATGTATACGCATACATGTGTATATATATATACATACATATCTATATATATATATGTGTATACACACACATATATACATGTCTATTTTGGGTATCGTGCTGAATATGTGACGCACAGGGGAGCTCTTGCCTCACAGCATCTTCCAAGTGTCGCGACCTGAACCATGTGTCTTCAAGCTCTGCGCTTTTGGAGGATGTTTTCGGTTTCTCTTCCTTTGAAGCTGCTTGCGGTTTCGGCGGTCTGGAAGCTGCAGACGAGCTCCTTCAGCAAGCAGCGTACCAAATCGACGTATCTCGAGCCCTCTTCTGTGCTATGGCCAACCGTGGCGGTAAGGCCGAGCTTGTGCATAGACTGCTGGCTTTGAGAGCACATGTCGACCACCAGTTTCAGCAGAGCTGGTTTTCTTTACATGGCATCTACACTTCCGTGAGAATTCTTCAGCAGAAATTCGGCAAACCCACGTTTGCCAGCAGAGCTGCATATCATGCGGATGGCATGACACCCCTCATGGCTGCCGTCATGCCGCTGGTCTTCTTAGCATGAGGTCGCTTTTACATTTTGTGCATCCGTTTATCATGTGGCCACGATACAGACTGTTCTCAATTTGGACGCAGTTTGATGACCATCTCTGCCACTCTATCGACGGCACTTTCTAGCACTACTGGCTGCTCACCCCCTTTGTTTAAAGTTGTACAACTGTCATCAGTTCTCATGACATCTAAGGTCAGGGCAGTATGAAGGAGCTGCGGCGCTAATCGCACAAGGGGCCAAGCTCGACTTGCGCAATGGCCGAAAGTGGACCGTGTTCGATTTCGCACGAGAGCAATCGCTGCCGCACTTTCTGATGCAGGCGCTGGAAGGACGGATGGAAGAAGTCGAAAGAATGTTCGCAGATGCAATAGCCAGCAGCCATTTTGAGATCTGATTTGCACAGTTCGGGTCTTTAGAGCCTGAAGCCACCATTGTGACTCGTTTTATCCTTTTCACGTTTTGCGACAGAGCTTTTTTTCCGACCAGGGCCAGGGTGGGCAGGAATCTTGGCTCTTCCTGCCGACCAGCCTCCAGCCATTCATGGGTGGTGTCGTGTTTAGGGTTTATGGTTTTGGTGTGGGGTGTTTTGAGGGTTCAGGCTTGAGGGTTCAGGGACCCTGTCATGATGTCGTTTCTATCTGATTATATCTTTGGTGGTTCTGAGTGTGGGACTGGCTTTCAGCCCCAATGCCGTCAGGTTTCCAAAACAACTTGTTGCTGTATGGTTGCTTTTGTTCCGACAGGGTTCAGGGTTCCCAAAATATGTCAGCCCTTGCTGTTGCGTGTTGCTGCACTGTACCCCTGTCACACAAACTGTGCAAACATCACTACTGCCACTGGTTATGCTTGCGTTCCACTTCTTCTGCTACATGTATTGCCACCACCCGGAGTAAGGGAGTAGCGTTTGGCATGAGTGAAGATTGGAGCTGGACGGACGTGGAATTGTGAGCGTCATGTCCCCCTGAGCGCCTGTCCCCCTGGGCAACTAGTTGCTTAGTTTGTTCACTGTGGCCACCTGACAGCAGGTCGCAGCGGTGTGTTTCACACTCCAAGGGTTTGCGAGACTTCGGTGCCCTCAGATTCCAGAAGGACGAGAGCCGAAGAGAAAATATACCCAACACCTCAAGGCCAAAATCCCTACACCACTACTAAATCCGAAACCCTCAACCCTAAACCCTAAACCCTAAATCCTAAACCCTAACCAAACACCCTCGCCAGAGTTTAAAGACTTCCGAGAGGATCCGGGTCGAAGATCCCAACATTCTCTCCGAAAATTGATGCCTCTGATGGACACCCTGCCGCAGTACCTTAGCATTAGTGTTTAGGCTTTATGGATCAGGACGTTGAACTATGGGAACTGCAGTAGTCTAGTGAAGAATTGATGGCGAGGCAGGTTCTGTCCATGAGCAGCGTGGGAGTATCGTAAAGCTCCGGGGACCTTATCCGGGATCACTACACACCCTATCCTAAACTAACCCTCAAGCTCTGAAGCCTTATAAGCCTTATAAGGACCCTATCAGTTTCAGAAAAGCACGGCATGGCGGTGTGCGTTTGCAAGCGTTGTAGGCTGTATGTTTTTCGTGGTTTGGATCCTTCATCAATTTAGGGCTTATAAGGAGCCTATCAATTTAAGGTCCTGTACTCGAGTCCCCTATTTTCTGAAACTCCCAACATCTTCAGGTGCGACAAGTGCCGGATCGGCCCTTCCACCGTTTGGAGTAAATCAGCGATTATTGAGAGCTTCGGGCGTTTGGGTGTTGGGGCTTTCGTGTTTAGGGTCTGAAGCAGCAGCAGGATGATGGTGGCGGTAGTGGTAGCAGTTGTAGAAGTAGAAGTAGAAGCAGAAGCAGAAGCAGAAGTAGAAGTAGTAGTAGTAGTAGTAGTAGCAGCAGCAGCAGCAGCAGGAGTAGTAGTAGTAGTAGTAGTAGCAGCAGCAGTAGTAGAAGCAGCAGCAGCCGAAGTAGTAGTAGTCGTCGTCGTGGTGGTGGTGGTTGTGGTAGTTGCAGGGTAGTCTTAGTCTTCGTGTTAGTGTTAGTGGTAGTCGTCGTCGTCGTCGTCGTGGCTGTCGTCGTCCTTGTTTGTCGTAGTAGTCGTCGTAGTAGCAGTGGTGGTAGTAGTAGTAGTAGCAGCAGTAGTAGTCGTAGTCGTAGTAGTAGTAGCAGCAGTAGAAGCAGTAGTAGCAGTAGCAGCAGTAGTCGTAGCAGTAGCAGTAGCACTAGCACTAGCACTAGCA